TCAATTCATATTTGCTTTCCATTAGTAGAAAAAAAACATGAAAATATTGCTAACGCATTACATGATCCCTCTACCATGGAAAGTGTACGCCGGAACTGTTGTCAGTGTAAATTGAAAGCAGTATACAAATTAACATAGGAATTCAAACCCAAATTTCATTAATGGGAAGTGAAAGTTAAATCGTTTATCGTATAAGGCATATTAGCTCTGGAATATTTATTATTAAAGTTTTAAAAAACAATATAAAAATTTTAATGCAATATTATAACGTACTACATGCTGATCAGAGTAGTTGCTGAGCAGTTCTACCATTCCTTCATCTGACAATTTTAACCCCTTCTCTGTCAGATTTCTTTTTTAATTTCCTACTAAAAAAAGGCATTTTTTTAATTGCTGAAAGTTAATACAGTACAGAACCCGTTATCCGGAAATCGGAAAACCAAAAAACCGGAACAAAATTCAATAAATTTCCCTGCCATTTTTTTAAAAAAAAAAAATTTTTTTTTTCCTCTTAAGATTTTAGGATTTTTCTTTCTTTTTTGAAAGATGTTTACCTTACCATCATTTTATAAATAATTATTAGTGTATTACTTCATTGGTTTTTCTTTTTTAAGATTATTTCCAAATACTTTTATTTTTTGTTGGGTTTAGCAATAAAAAAAAAACAGCTTTTTGTAGCGATTCAGAAAACCGGAAAAATCAGTTATACGGAATAGTGATGGTCCCGATCGTTCCGGATAATCGGTTCCCTACTGTATATAAATATTTTCGTCAGCAAGCAGTTTTTTGCTTGACCTATTGGTAGTGAAATATGATACCAGTTTTCTCAGCAATGCACTAAAGTTTTATCTTAAAAAAATACACTCTGTGATAACATATTAATTAACTCAATTGCTTTAAGGTGTTTCAGATAAATATCTGCATTAACTAATTATTAAAATTAGGTAAAGAAATATTTTGGGAAATAATTTTTCAACCTTATACATCACAACTATTTTGACATGCAACAGTAACACTAATGAAAGCAAAATTACAGAAAGTACAAAATGATTTTGATTTTAATTCAAGGTGGGAAATCTCACTGCATAAATTGTGAAGTAAGTGGGACTAGTTGTATCATTTCTAAGCAATATTCAAAAATAATCACGAGATTTAAAAAGACTTGTAAACAGCAATAAGTTAAATTTCAATGATGCATTTTTTCTCTTTGTCGCATGGCATGCAACGTCTACCATACAGGCACAAAAACGTTGATCATATGAGATGCAATGCCGACAGAGAACTGGTTAAAGAAGCTGAGTTTATGATAATACGAATAAATAAAATTTGGCATATAAAATAAATTCTTATTTTTGCAAGTTTTATTAAAAACATTTTCTCGACTAGAAGATGAACTTTTCCAACAAAAGCAGAAATTACAATTGTGATTTCTATGCACATGAATATTTTTAAGAAAAAGATGTATTTATAATTAAATAAGTGGAAAAACTATTGGCGATCGAAATGGGCTGCAGGTGGCATAGAGCAGAACTCTCTACCTGTGGCAACACTTCACATTATTTTTATTAAATAAAAGGGAACGATATTAAGAAAAGGGAAAATATCGTAGTACCTTCCTATACTACTGAAAAGAGGAGGAGAGGGACTACTGGTGCCGCCCTTGGAATTATTTCAGGGCTGGTTTTAACTGGGCAGTGGTTCACGAGAAACTTTTTAAAAAAACGTTACAAAACAGGGCCAACTTGAAAGGTTATAACTCGCAATCATTCCCAGGCAAACCATTAACATACATTTATTTGTAAAACTTTTTTACAAGTACAAAAACTTTTTTGTCAGTGGTAGTTTGCTCTAACAGGTTTTGCTACAGCAATATCTCTTTATATCATTATTCTTATTAAAATTTTACCTTAGAATTTAAACTAATTTTATAGAAACTAGCTTATTTAATTTTTAGTTGTTAGCTGCTGCCTTAAGAAAACTTTCTAAAATATCTGACAAACTTCAGTTAGCTTATTGTATCAAACAAATATCTTGTGGATATTAATTTGAAAAATATTTTTGTATTTTGCTTAAAAAATAATTAAATTTCAAGTTTTAAAGTCTAAGAAAGGTACATAAGAGTTCATGCATTGGTAATGTATTTGTACAGAGCATATTATGTATAGGTCATTTTCTCAATTTGTTAACTTTTGCATCTTCAAACAATATTTTTTATTGAAATATTTATTTCCTTATTTAATTGTATGTTTTGCTTAAAAAACTCAGAAGAAGTAAAAAAAAAAAAAAAATGCTCCAGGCTCATTTTCTTTTGAAAATATATTTTTAAGCAAGTAAAATATATAGGTAAAATGTTGTTATTTTCTCATGTCCCCAGCACACATTTCTGAATTCTCTAAGTAATTTACTATATTATGAAAGAGTTACAGAGACAAATGCTTACATCTTCTGATATAGTATGCCTGTCTATTGGAATATGTATCATCAATATTCATAGAATAATTTGCATATTTTATTCTACACATCATTTTGTATATGTCCCTAACTTTCCTGTGATTGCCATCCTAAGTTCAAAAAGTGCCAGTAAGACCCTATAGATGGGTCTAGTTGAATAAAGGCTTCACAGAATAGTAAAATTTGATTGCAGTGCCATTTCTTTAAGGGTCAATAAGCTTAATTTCAACTTTAAAAAATCTATGTGTGACTTTTTGAATGTAATTACTGTCCACCTAATTTTCTTCCAAGAAATAGTAAGATAGTAAAAAAAAATTTATTGTACAAAGGGTGCTAACTTTTTGTAAAATATGGATCGTTTAATTAAAGAAATGAAATAGTTTTTTTTATCTATTTATCAAAAACTATTGTTTTGTAATTACTGTCCCTACTTGAAATGCACTTAAAGGAACAGTGATTGCCTAAGACCTATAACTTTTTTTTATCAAAAACTTTTAATGTGTCTGATTTATTTGGTTATGTTATCACAGTATTATTATGTTATTATTGGAGATATCTTATATTTCTTTCTTGTCATTGTATATTTTTAAATAATATTTTAAAAGATATTTTCCATGCAATATGCATCATTCTGTTTAAAATTGTTTATGGAAAAGAAAGAAAAACAATTGTTGTTAACTGCTGTAGCACAATTTATCAGCTTATAAAAATTTTTATGCATTTATAAATTCATTCTCTGATTCGATCATTCAGTAAAATGCCTTTCAATGACTAGCCGACAAATTCACTGTTATTGATTTCTGACCCCAGGTTAATACAACTTTCACTTATCCACTTGTAATAAAACTCACTAATCCACTTGTTTATGACATACATACTATATTTAAAATGACTATTTTAAAAAAAAAAAAGTAGAAATAGCCTCCTATAAAATACATTTACAAAAGAATGGATGATTTTCATAGTAATGGAAAAATATTAAATAATTATTGCTATCAAGTAATTTTTAAGGAAGATTAGATATTCTCTACTAAGACTAATATAGGTTTATAACATATATATAAAAATAAATAAAAGCTTGCGTGCAACGTAAATTACAACAATAATAAACTTTTACATTAATCAGATCCTGCTATGACCACATATTACCTTTGTTGAGAAGAATTAGTCTTACTTTAGTTTCCCAGAAAATCTTTAATAACTATTTTAAATTTATATCAATGAACAAAATATATAACATTTTAGGAATGAATCCATGTTTCTCATTTTTCACATAAAATTTACTAAAACCTTGGTAACTATCTAAGCTTTACTTATTACCTTGGATATTAACCTTACTTCTAAATAGCTCCCTCAAAGAATGCACTGAAATTTGGATAAAAAACCTAAAATTGCATTTTGAATTTTTGAAACGAAATAGGGTATTTTCTACATTAAATATTATAGTTTATATCAACAAATTCACATATTAAAGAAGCATGTGACACACTGGTTCAAACGCACAGCATGCAGAATAAGAAGGGGAAAAAATTAATCACTTTAAATTTTAATTTATTGATTGGATTTTAATGTATACTCAAGATTTTAAGAACTCAATCTTAATTCTTTGAGGGGATTACCTCATATGCTAATTAGTTAGTTCAGACAAAACAAGACACAAAAACATGTGTGTCTAAATAAACATACCTTATGATTCCTGACCCCCAAAATATAGGGAGTAGCTGCAATCTGGGAAATATGGTCCTAATTAAAATTTTGTGCACAATCATAAAATTCTTTAATCCTTGGCTAATTCCAACAAAGAAAATTTAATACTTATTTATTATTTTATTTAATAATAGTAAAAATAGTTTTGAATTGTGAGGTATACAAATTTTTATATAATTTTAAAGAAAATAATTTTATATGGCAAAATACAGAATTTGGACCAAATCGGTTGATAGTTCCTTTCCAAGCAAATTTTAAATTTTTGACTTCTTTTAAAATTCGAACTTATTACCTTGGTTTGAATGTTTCTTAATAATTTTTATTTAAAAGAAAAAATCAGAAAAGGTCAAATTTTGTAAAATAATGCATGCACATCGAGACAGAACATTAAAAAAATCATTCATTTACAATTTTTTTATCTGTGATTAAAATTTAAATTCAAGTACGACAATAAAATGCTCTGATTGATTCCTAAATTCCAAATTGATGTTTCCTTTAAAAAATGTATGCCTATTTACATTAATCTAACATGACATAACACACTAAAATGCAAATATTGTATCTAGGACTAAATGACTGCTCAACTTGCGTACTGCTTAATTAAGTAATATTTTCCTTTAAAATTTAGCTTTAGTAATTTTTGATCATTGAAGTGTCTTATTGGCTTGCATATTGTTTCCAATTCTTGTGCTTCATTTATAACTTACGTTACATTACATCAACTAAATATTGCTTTGACTTGTGTTTATGGGAAACGAAATGTTTGAGAAATTATGATAAAGTTTGTTGTGGAAAAGTGCTTTTGTTTCTAACTCCACTAATTTATGCTAATTTTTTTCTAGATATTATTCATCAATTACTAGATATGATGACATGGCTTCTTCTAAAGAAAATAATGGTACAATTTCTCCTAAGTTATCTCCACGTAAGTAATACATTTCCTTTTCTTCTGATTTTAAATGTGTTTGATTAGAGAAATAGCTTGCAAATAAATACCAAGTTTTAAATTAGAAACACTTCTATTCTTATTTATTTTTTGAAATGTTCTAAAATTTAATTCCCATTTTCTTAACTTTATTAATACCTATGTTAATTAACCATTTCTAATTTTGTAATTAAACAACGAAAAATAGTGTTATTCAAAATGTCCTTTTAATTGGAGTGTTATTAAACTACTTTGAGTTTCGATTATTATTAACTTTACATTAATAACCAAATGGGTTCAATCAACACACATTAGCAGGGTCAATTCACAAATTAAAAAATGCTTTAATAACGCATAAAAATAGTGAACAGTAAGTTATAGAATAGAAAATTTCACTGTTGGTTTGGTTGAAGAACTCTTTTCATTTTTGTTACAGAATATAAAAATACCAGCATATTTGAAAAAATATCATTTTTTATTTTTTGAAAAAATATATTTTCTATTTTATGAAAAAATATATTTTTTATTTTTTGGAGAAAAAAATTGTGAGATTTTCAAGGTTTTTGTGCTATATTTCTTTTATTTCATTCTGACAATTTTATATTTTTGAAAACTTTATGAGATGTAATGTCACATGTGACAAAGAAATAATAATGTGAGTAAAAAATAAGAGTATTCAAAAATTGAAGAAAAAAAAATTCTTTCTAAGAATTTTGCATTCCGTAATTTCGCAGAGAAACGCCGCCCTGGTATATATGCCGCTCCCTCAAAAATCGACTGACGGAAAAAAGCTTTTCACCGGACATGCCGCACCATCGTACATGCCGCGCCGAATTTTTAACAATTACAGAATTATGAACTTAACACAGGTATTGATTAAAGACTTAACACATGCTCTAAATATGCATATGTATATAATTTAAATAGTTAAATAAAAATAAATAAAAGAATATTAAATATTTAAAAAAAATGGAAACAATCCTAGTATATAAAATAGATTTTAATAATTTTCTAAGTAAAATTAAGCATTTTCTAATTTTAAAGTGAAGTAACCTTTAAAATGTAAATAAAATAATTAATATATCATAAACCATTAAAATAAGTATGAAATTTTTTAAAAATAAAACGATTTTACTTTTAAATTAACAATCCAAAATCGTGTTTTAGAAATAAACGATAAATCCAAACAAATTTTGTTCAAAGAAAAGCAAGCTTAAGAATAATTTATTTAGATATCACATATCACTATATATTCATATCACTGCACTTAAAAATTCCTCAAAATCAGAACTCTCTGTATCAGAGCAAATTAGGTTTACTATTTAATTGTTTATTTCGGGTTAATCTCCGTCACTTTCGGTTTTGTTTGTCCCGGGATGATTTCCGCTTTTTTGAAGCCATTTATCACAGTTTCTTTTCATCTTTTAATTGCTGACAGCTTAAACGCAGTGGTATAATTTTTCCTCTTAATGGGAGGCATTTAAAATGGGTAACTTAAATACAAGTTATGTTAAAACAAAAGAAAATAGTCTAAACGAAACAAAAATATTAACGAAACAAAAATATTAATAAAACAAAAACGCATGGGAACTGAAGATAAAGAGATAAAAAAAAAACCGTAATAATAATAATAAGCTGAGGAAGATGATCGGAATCAGACAGAAATATGAGCAATGAAAAAGAAAAACAATAAAAAGCTCCCTCCCAAGCATTTAAAACAAGTTTCTATTTTTAGCAATTCCTCCCCCTATTTTCGCTTCTCAAATCAGGTTTCTTTTTTCAACTGACTCCACCTAGGACGGTCTTTCTTTTATCCCTGTCTAAAATTCTCAAACACTTCGCTTTTTTCCCTCTGCACTGACCCTCAGTGGAAAGTTTGAAATTCTTTTTGAACATTCTAATTGTAAGATTATTGAAGGTCATTCCAAGCTCATCAGCATGCTTTATTTACCAAACATTCACATGTTTTTAACAACCAGCTGAAGAAAAAAGGGGAGTGGAGAGAGGCATCCATGACAAGTGGAAGAGTCATATTTCCTGGAAAGAACGGGGTGGGGGAGCGTTTGTTTTACAGTTACTTTATCACTGGCCCCACCCTGATTTTCTTCATTCATTCCTTTCTGATTTATGCTTCTCCACTCCATGCCCATTTCCTACACTCAACAGCTGTCCATATGGCAGAAGGGAAAGAGAGACTTTGTTCTCTTGAGGATAGTGGTCTCCAGAAAATGATTCCAAGAAAGGATTAGGGAGGGGAAAATTCCAGGTGCACTGACCATTCCTTGGAGTGACATTAAGCATGAAAAAATAAATAAAAAGTACAATAACAGGTGGAAAAATGAAGATGAAATTTCCAGTGCGGTTTCTAAAAAGCAAAATTTTTTGAAAAAAAAAAAAAATACTATATAGGCCGCCCTGTTAGATACGCCTTCCTACTAAATTTTCAAGTTTTAAATCAATAACACCGTGGCCTATCTCTGCGAAATTACAGTAATTTTTCTTTTACTGCCTTGTACAACTATAGCTTTTCTACCTAACCGCAATAAAAAAAAATGCATATCTGTTATTCACTCTATCTGTATGCACAGTATATATTTATATAAATTCATATAGAGTTCAATGAGAAGTTATAATAAGTGATGTGTGTATGAATAATGAGAAGTTATAATTATGAGATTATTAGAACCAGATTTGGTTATCCTTATGACGGGCAAGAACTTATGCATCTTTTTGGATCATTTGTTAAAGAAAATTATATTTGTTATGTCTTTAAGAATGGCACACCAAAAGAAACTGGTTTCTAGATTTAATGATGACACATAATTTCTTATCCTCGAAAAAAGCCTAACAACTTCTGTCATTGCTTCTATCTAATACAATTCCAGAAATTTTCTGCTATTTTTATGAAGAATTGAAAGCAGTGTAGTCTATAAGGAGAAAAAAACTGATAATATTGGATAAAGCATGTGTAATGTTTAATGCAGATGACTCAGAATTCAATCACAACCCCTCCCCTATATTTAATAAGTCATTCCATTCTACAATGTAGAAATTTGTCAAAATCTTCATGTGTTTGATCATTGATTGACTCGAGAAAAAAGTTTCTGCTTGATTGTTTTACATATTTCATTGTTTAACTTTTAGATTTAAAAAAGACTAGAAAAGATTCTCTATGTTCTTTTGAAATATAAAATAATTTGTAGAACTTGTTTTTTATTTTATAAATTGAAATCTTTTAGCTTTTAAAGGCAACTTAAATGGTGATTAATATTTTTTTTTACCAAAAAAAAGTGATTTTCTTTTAATTGCTAAATTTCTCTTGTGGAGCAACTATTTTCCTCCCATTATATGTCAAAACAAATTTTTTGCTAAACCCATTTGTTTTTACTTTTGAGCCCATAAAACTAAAGCTTTTGAATGCTCAACTTATTTAATAGGTAGTATTTATTAAACTCTGCTTCTGCAGGTTTTACTGATATGGAAAAATCTCAATATAATGAGTATGGCGCATTACGAAAAGACTGCTTTTACGACAAACTCTCAAGTCACCATCAAAATGCGAATATTATTGGCAGAAAAATTTTATGTTTATTAACAAGTCAAAAATTACTAGTTTTTCACTATTACTTCCAAACTATCTTTAAAGAAATACATTTTCCTGCTATTTAACTGAGTAATCATATGTGAATAAGGTTTATGTGGAAGACAATTTTATTTCTTTCTCATATCAATCCAAAAAAGCAAAAAATGAACAAAGTTTACTTTTACAAATTGAACTCATTTTTCAAAGTAATGAAAAGGCAACCACCAGCTAAGTTATCTTCTTCCTAACGAAAAAAAAGTTTTCCTATTCTTAGAAATCCTGATACACACTTTAAAAGAGAGTGCCTTTTGTTGACCTCCTTATTTCCCTTTTTGACCATTTTCTATTAGAATCCAACATTTACTGTTATCAATGATGTCAAAAGGTATTGTACTTCATCTCATTTTCTTCTTGCAAAAACTTGTTATGATATGGAAACTTGTTCAAACATTCATGTCAGAGATATTTCTGCCTCTTAGAGCTATGTAATTCAGTCTGCAATTAGGCAAAAGTTGTCTACTGTAAAAATATATGCATAAATCAAAATAGTTGTTCACAATAAAAGAAATAAATAAGCCTATTGCACTTTTATTGCTTGTTTAACCTTAAATACATGTATTTACTGTAACAGCAAATATGCTATAAAAACAATTTAATCTCCTATTATGAATTGTTGTTAAAACAGACTTTTACATGTTTTCTTAAATTTAAAAAAAGAAAAAGAACATGCAACAAATAATAAGTCAAAAACTTTTAAATTCTATTTTCTTTTAATAAAACTAATATAATAATTTCTATTCTAAAATAATAGAAAAATAGTGTATGACACCGTTTGTATTCACAGGAGTAATATGAGTGGTTCATGCCAGATCTATTTAACTTTTGAGTTTGGTTGGTTAAATTTTTATTGTTTTTAACTACTTGGTTTGAAGGATTTCAAAAAATAGCATGACAAAAATTTTGTAAGTGATAAATAGTTTATAATTTTGTTTTTAAATAACTTAATATACAAAACAAATGAAAATTAATTTTCTTTATTCAAGATTGAGTAACTATAATAAATGTCTGATATGGTAAAATCATATTGAAGTGTATATACGCAAAAGTTGCATTAGTGGTGCATCTATTATTTTTCAACTTTTTAGTTTAATGTGTTATAGTTTGAGTATTTCTTCTAGTTGAATTATTTGGTTCAACTAACCAAATAGTTCATATTGTTTCTGAGAATACACCCATTGTATCTTCAGATAATTTGGTAGGAAGTAAGGGATCCCACATCCCTTAAGCTGACTAAGTCTTAATGATTTACTATTTACATAAGTTGAACCTAATTATTGAAGCTATATGATCATCAATAATGGTGTTTTTCTTCAAATCTAAACTAACAGTTTTTGGTTTGTAAGATTTTTTCTTTTATTCATTAGCAATGCCATGGTTTGGAATGGACATTGGTGGATCTTTAGTAAAACTTGTTTACTTTGAGCCTATTGATTTTGCTAGTGAATTAGAATCTGAAAAAGGAGCTTTGAAAAAAATTCACCATTATTTAACCACTAATTCTGCTTATGGCTCAACAGGAAAAAGAGATGTACATCTTCAGGTACTAAAAAGTTATGTATTCTTATTTTTGTAAAACTGTTTTTGTCAATTTTTGTGTTCATGTTAAGACAGATTTATTTTCTTTTTATAACATTAAAAAAGAAGTATATGTGTCAGGAGTGGTACTAGTTTTTTGCCTACCTGAAGAAATCCAGATATTTAAAATTTTAATCCTTTTAATATTTTTTACTGCTAACACTAAATTTGATGATTTTGATTTAATGATGTGAATGTGTTTCAACTCCCAGGAATTTTTCATTTAAGAAATGCGAATGAGTGCTTAAAAGCTTTGACAGTAACTTTTTTCCTTGAAATGCTCATTTTTTGTGCAATCAGTCTTGTCTTCATTCTTGAAATTGAATAAAATAAGTTGAAGATATTTTATGCTTTACTTATTATGAGAATCTTTTGAAATGAAATTATTGACCAATTCTGATGATTTATCTTATCTTTGTTAGATGTTATTGAAAGAAACTTATACATAGTAATAGCTAGAAAGTGGATGATAAATAAGATTATAAAATATCTGCATGGTACAAAGGAATTAACACCTTTGTATTTTATTATTACAAAAAAATTCACTGTTGACCTTCTGACAAATAAATTGGAAACAAATGCTTTATTAACTTGTTTATTGCTGAGTATTCTTTATCATTATCTGTAGCTTTAGATGCTTTCCAGCTTAAGATTCTAGCCAAGTGTGCTGGCTATCTCCTAAAGATTAAATACGACTTGAATAAAATCATCAACGAAGAGCTAACTCTTGTTCTAAAAGTCTCATTTTTTTCATCAAGTAGGGATAAAGCATCAGAAAGTATTTTGTCTATTTTAATGAAGTTTTTTAGTGAGAAAACAATATCTATTATTTTGCTTTAATCACCAGTTAAGTTAGATGTTTGTTCTTTTTGAAATTTCTATACATAGTAGTAATATTTTATGGTTAATATTTTTTTAATACAATGGCATAACATTGAGAAAATGACTTACCATGCAATACTATGAGAAATGTTCTTACTGGAGTAAAATTTGTATTTTTATAAGTAACAATAGATTAAATAATCAATTTTCTAACTTATCCATGTGACCTAATGTCATAGAGATAATGTCATTCACAAGAAACAACCAACCTTTTTTTAAAAAAATTATTAAAAAAAATTTCATTCAAATTAGCTTATATATCATTAAAAATGAATATAAATTTTCGAATTAAAGAAAAAAAAACTACCTTTATTAAAATTATGATTAATGAACATTTTTGGCAAATTTATGTAAATTGTCCACGCTAATATCCTTCCTTCCAACATAGCTAAGAAATAGCTTCCATTTTTTTTATTCTTTAAATAGTTAATATAATTTTATATATTTAAGTCACTGATAGCTATTATAACTCCACAACTCTCACTTTCAATTTCATCTAGTGAATTTTTTAAAAAGGTATATAACTATTTTCTTATTAGCATTTCCTAATTTCTAAAAATGTTTTTATAATTAGTTTCTTTTACAATTTTTCTATACAAATTACTATTTTTACTTTTAGATGGATAATGTTTTGATAGGTGGTAGAGTTGGAACTCTACATTTTGTTCGTTTTCCAACTAGTGAGATGAGTGTATTTTTACAATTAGCTAAATCTAAAGGAATGTCCTATATGGCTAGCACAGTTTGTGCTACTGGTGGTGGTGCATTTAAATTTGAAGGAGACTTTCGAAGAGTAAGTAAGCATTCATACAAGCTATTTTTCAGTGATTTACATGAACTTGCATAAAACTTAAGAATAAGGACAAGCATGTATACAGTAGAGAATCAATTATTAGGAATCCTGGAGACCATCGCTCTTCTAGATGTCTAAACTTCCCGGTTTTCTGGATTACTGAAAACTGATTCAATACAGCTTAACTATATTCCTACTTTAATACTGAATAAAAAAATTTGCCGTATTTTAACTGTTTTTAGTATTCTAATTATAAATTTGTATTTTCACTTCTCTTTTTTCTCCAATCACTCTTTTTACCTTATTATATTTATATAATAATACAAGGCGATGTATTTTTCTTATAATTTCTCTAACACCTAAGGTTAGCTGATATTACCCCCTCGTAAATCAAAAACAAAATTATTCACTTCTGATTTCGTTTTGAAAAATAAAAATAAGTAAATTGAGAAAACTGTCACAATTTTTCCATAATTGATTTCTCGTAATCATTATCTCAATCCTTCTAGTTCAAAATAGTAGTAAAATTTAACAAAATTTTTCTCAGTTTTTGGATACTGGATGAAAGGTTCAGTACTGTATTTTCAAAAAATTATTGTTAAATTAAATAATCCTAATATAACCTGTTACACAATATTGAAAGTATAAAATATTAATAGCATCTGAGATGATAAATTTAATTGTACTTTTATACTAATGTTATTTGTGTTCAAATGTTTTATTTTCAAGTATCTTACTTGTTTTAGTTTTGTGATTATTTGTCTCGTTTTTAACCAATTTTTTATTATTTTTTTAATTAGCTTATAAACAAAAGTGGCATTAGTATGATATTTACGATTTTTGTTTAACTGCTATTTTTAATATGTTTACTAAGTTCTTGTGGAGTTAACATAATTTCAAATAGTTGTATTTTTTTAATTTATATTTACAATAATTCATAGTTTTCTTTTTTAATCTTCGGAACTAAAATATTCTGTTATCTAGATTTAACTTTGATTTTATGCAATCATTTTTATAACTTTTAAGTTGCATTCTTAAGTCTATTGACATTAGGCATATGTTTTTTTAAACATTTGATTGGGTTTTTTTTAAAAAATCTTTTCTTACATTTCTCTATTTTTCTTACATTACAGTGGTCTCTTATTAATGCTAACCTTTGAGGAAGCACGCTGACCAAATTTTCATTTTAATTACATAAATATATCATAAATTTCACACACAAGGGAACCTATAAAGAGTCTTTAGGTTCTTAAACCATTAAGATTAAATCTTAAATACTTATAATTTTTGACACTGCTGTAGTATTTATAATGCTGAGAGCACATATAAATATAGTTTATAGATAAGACCAATAGCTATTTCAACACAGTTAATATATGTCATAATGAGTGTGAAGTAGATGTTTTTTTTTTTAATTACGTCCATCATTTGCTCTCTCGAGCATGAGAAGTCTTGCAGTCCAATATAACAAAGAAATATCTCCAGGGGCGGAGAGCATCTTGAAACTAGGAGGATTACAGGCCTCCTGGAGGGCAGAGCAGTTCCATAGATGCCCGCCATTCATATGGGCCCTATTTGTACATAGAGTACAGTTAGGAGAGTCAGAAAGACCAACACAGTGCAAGTGAATCTGTAAGTAATCGTGCCCCGTCAACAATGGGAAAGATGAAACACCGATAGCTCTAGGGAAATTTTTTGGAAGACAGGATGCCAGAAGGCTCTCCTAAGGTTTTTCAGAAACTTGCTCTCAGTTGGAAGAAACCCGGAGACTTCGAAGCGTTAGTTTCACAATTTGTTTAACATTTCTCAAATTTGTGGGCAACACAGGGGGCTCCAATAGAGTTGCCTCTTTGGTAAGGTTATCAGCTTTTTCATTACCCCATAAGTCACAATGGCTGGGGATCCATTTTAGAGTTATCTCCTTTCCACTAGACAGAGGAGCATTAATAATGTTTTTACAATTGAATTCAATGGCTGTAGGGAGTAGATCATATTTTGAAACAGTGTGAATTGTGGCCTGGAAGTCGATGAGGAGGACAAATCTATTTTCAGGTCTTTCTAATATCTTTTGGAGAGGCAAGTATATTGCGAACATTTCTCCATCGATATTGTCAGAGTTTGAACTCAGTGGCTTTTTGAGTTGGAAAAATCTGGAGAAAACACCTGAGCCTGCTCGTCCAGAAGCTCTCTCAGCAGAGCCATCGTTGTAGATGTGGAAGCCACTCATCGCTGGGGTATCTCTTGTTGATGGTGGCAATGGCAGCAGCTTTAAGTTCTGCTTGAAAGGAAACTCCCTTCCAGACGGGAGTGAAGTAGATGTAAAAATATTGATATTAAATATTTAATTATAAAATTGTTATTGATATTTGTACTGAACCAAATAATTGATTTGTAGTAGATGGTGTATTTCCTCTCTTCAGTTCTATCTTGTGTGATAAAAAATGCTTTTTAAATTAATTCTATTTGTAGCATTTTAAAATTTCACAATTGTTTATTTGTTCATTTGTAAATAACACTAACATGTATAGATTTAAATTTCTCTCTTTAAAAGTGTTTTTATTATTATTAATTTAGGTGGTAAAGATGGAGCTTCATAAGTTTGATGAATTAGAGTCTTTGATAAGAGGAATAAATTATATTAATGCTTATAATAAACCAGAATGCTATTATTTTATTGATCCAACTGATGATAGCAAGTGTAAAAGAGAAGATTTTGATTTACATAATTTATATCCCTTTCTTGTTGTTAATATTGGCTCTGGAGTGAGCATTCTAGTGGTTTATTCCCAAGACAATTTTAAAAGAGTTTCAGGAACAAGGTATGAAAATTTTTTTGATTAATTTTATCCTAATTAGTACGATTGTATGTCTTATATTTTAAAATTAAAAAAATTACCACTTTTTGTTCAAACAAATGCAAAAGAAAACTTAAAAATAAAATCTTACTTCTTTTATAAATATACTAAAGTTGAAGATCTAGGTTTCACATCAGAAATTAATTTGTGTTAGTTGGCTTTGTAGAAATAAAACACTAATTTATTCTTATTAGTAATTATTACTGTTTCCTCTTACAATCAAAACTTGTAATTTATTACTCTTACTTTTCTGATTTGTCAGAGTTCAGAAGTGGTTTAGTTTTTTTTTTTTTTTTTTTTTTTTTTTTTTTTTTGTATTATTAAATAGTAATTTGCACTCCCCAATGTGCATACTTTTTAGTTTTAATTTTTGATAAGAATTCTAGAAATTCAAGGATATTTGGAAAGTGTGTGCAGTGATTTCAGGTACTGCAGTTTCTAGATATTGTGACCATTTTGAAACAATAAAAGTTTAAATATCAAAACCGTCAGTGAATTAAAGCTCATTTATTTCCATAATTTAATGACTAGTGTTAACTTTCATTGAAAATTCTATTTTTAATTTTATAGGTCATGAATGTCATTATTTTTATATAATAATTTCAAAGCTAATTTTCAAGCATTGAAGCTATTATATCATAGCTATGCACATGCCAGTATACTTTTTTGTTAGTTATCTACTTTTAACTACTCAAATCAAATTCAGAGATTTGTGTTGTCAGTTGATGATATTTTAGTTATTTATCTTCTGAATAATTTGGTCATTTTATTTTAAATTGTAGAAGTAATATTTTTTGTGCATACTATTGTATATAATAATATCATACTACTTGATGTTTTTTTAAATTTTTTTTTAATTGTCTTCAATATGGATATTCTGTAACTAAATTAAATTTGTAGTTTAGGTGGAGGCTCTTTTTTAGGACTTTGTTGTTTACTTACTGGTTGTGAATCTTTTGAAGAAGCTATTTCATTAGCAGAAAAGGGGGACAACACAATTGTTGATAAACTTGTGCGAGATATATATGGAGGCAGTTATGACAAATTTAATCTTGATGGTGATGTTGTTGCTTGCAGGTAAGTTTTTATTTTTTCTATTTATTATGACACCTGGGAGTATTCCCTCTATTCCAGTGCCATACATAAGTAACGAAAATTTTTACTACAGTTTCTTAAGTAATTAAAAAATACTTGAATGTATCAGAATGTGTTTTTGTCTTTAAAAAAATACCCAAAATTATTAGCTCTTCGACTGTTAAGCTATCTTGGTAAATTTATACACACATTTTCTCGCTGAGCAGTGTTTCTTTTTGAATAAAAAAAAGTTTATTGTTCATGATAGCAATCTATGACATATCGACCTGAGTTCTGTTCTTGCTGTTAAGTAATTAAAAATTATTATTTTACTTTCAGCTTTTGTATATTTTTATACCGAGTAAAAAGTCCCATGTTCCAAATCGGTGGGATTTTGGCAAGTCTGGATAATAGATTTTTCTGTGTAATAGTCCCCTAACATAAACAAAGGTCAAAATAAGTCTTTAACAGCAAGAGAAAAAAAATTTAACATTTTTTTATTAGTAACATTTTATTACCAGATTATTATCGAATCAGCCAAAATAATGTGTGAAAAGAAAAATAATTACTCAAAATATTGAAAACAAAGAAATTAAAAAAAAAACAATTCCATTATAAGTTCACAAAAACACTTTCATGCATATCAGTAAGCACTAGTTGGAAAGGAAATTATGAGAAAAATATTATGCTTTGCTAAATATAATAAAGTGAAAAAAGTGTAATGAAAATTAAAATTTTTAGTTGGAGCACTAAAACAGCTATTTTTCATTCAATAATAAAGTAGTAATATTGTTATGGTGTATTTATTCATTTAAAAAATAATCTGAAAAACTTAGTAAATTATTATAACTCAAAATATAATTGACTGTGCTAATGGGTAAAAAGTGCTATAAAAACCATTAAGCATTTTATAAAATTGGTACTTCAATTAAATAAAGTGAAATACAAAATAATAAAAAATGACTTAAAAACAAGCAGTCAAAAATCACATTTTTTAAAGGGGGGAACAACACAGAAGAAGCACGTAAAAAAAGGAATTTTTTTAAGTAAATTTAGGATGACTCCCATAAATTTAATACATTTTTCTTTTATCTTATTGTATATATTTTAATTCTCATTTTAGCATGTTGCATTTAAAGAAATCAAGATTATAAAGTACAATGTTTATAAATTATTTTTTAAATTATCCATAACTTTCTGTACGCAACTTATAAACAAAAATAATGGATAATAATAGCAAGTTAATAACAATAAGAAAAAAATCATCCCAATTTGCTTCCATTTTGATTTTTCTTAAAGCAACATGAATGTAGTTTTCATTGCACGTAGGAGTTTTAAAAAAATAAATTCTGCTCAGAAAATGATAATGACTCAAAACTAGTCAACCCAATTAAAAAATTCCTATGTGTAACGAAAACTATTTGTGAACATAGTGTCAAAATTTGAAGTAAATTAATTGAAAATTGTGTTAGAGATTCAGCAAGTACAAGAAATATAGTTTCAAGTAAATAGAGTTTAAAGTTTTAGATCAATAATCCATATAAATATATATAATTTTGCTACTAACTATAATGCATCAATCCTTGGCACATAAGATGCTTCTTCATCCTTTTCAGCTGCATAAAGTGCTAGTCTAGCCTTTTTTCTTGTCTATCTACGTTTATGTGACACCTAATATGTTTTTAGAGTAGCAGCCAAAATTCTACAGCCATCTTTCATTTGAGCATATTCTTTGGCTACTTTGCTTACATTTATTTCTTATTGTTCCAAAACTGTCAATAACCTTTTGCAGCCTCCATTAAAAATTATTACAGCTATATATTGGAAGTAGCATTAATATTTTTTTCTTACACAATTTAAACAAATTATTTCAATAAAGGTTAAAAATGTTTTGTTATGAGATAGTAAATACATTAATTACCTGTGAGCACAAGTTAATTTGTTCATACATGTTAGAGAGTGTCCCACATCTCCCTAGTCCTGTCTTTATTTGCAGGCCTTTATGAGTAATTTGAAGGAAAAAAATTTTACTTTTGAATATTTTTTTTTAATTTTAAGAATGTAAAACTATGATACATTATTATAAAAGCTTTAATACATTATTTGCAGGGATGCTGCGAGCTTATATTTTTGGGAGGGAAAAAATTTCCATTTTGCCGAATGAATTCCTATTTTGACCATATCATAAATTAGCACCAGCAATTATTCTTATATATTATAATAAGGGTACATCAAAAGCGTCTCTAAAAAATCTTCTTGATAATGAAGCTATAAGTTATAAATGACATAGTTGTCAACTTTCCTATTTCTCCCGGAAAATTTCACTTTTATATTTTAAGTGTTAGAAAATTTATAGATTGATATTTTATTCAGTGTTTAATAAATTTGATTTAAAATGTTCTTGCTCGCCATTATAGCTTATCAAATTAAACATCTATCTGACTATCAATGTAGTGCTAAAGAAATTTATGATAGGAGTTTAGAAATTAAGTATCATTAGTGTTGTATAAAATCTATAAATAAGTATATTAATCTAGAGATCTTCAACCTTTTTCAGGAAATCGCGAGGGTCGAGCATGTATTAGATAAAAAAATACAATAGAGGAGCAGATTATGTAGTAGTTCATTTGATAGGTATTGAATATTTTCTGTTTTGGAATTTTGCTCTCGGAACAAACCAATGACTGTTCCAACAATAGCATGTTCACAGTTTGAAAAATACTATGTTCGTAAATTTCCTATATGGATGATACAAAAAGCTATTATAAGCTAATTTGTATCTCTTTATTTCGGATGAAACTAGCTTGCATGTATTCGGAAATAAGACCGCTACAACAAGTGATTGACAATGACAAAATTATCAAATAAACGTGTTATAATTTCATTTGTGTTTCTTAAAAAAAAAGTTTCTGAATATTAAATTTTGTAAGTTTGCCTAATGGCCAGACAATATTTGTCTAATAGTAAAAAGCTTTGGGAGATCCTAGAGACCTTCTCTCATAGTGCCCCTGATTAGTTTAGTAGTTTAAGGTAGTAATACTTTTTACGCTTTTTGAGAGGCGAAGCCATCAATCACATCATTCAAATCAATTTCCCGAGAGACATATTCAATGCTCATGATTGACAAATGACATTCTTTCTTAAGTCATACTATTTCTTAATTTATTTTTTATCAATTTTAGTCTGGAGAATGAACTTAGCCACTACATTTAGTTATCACGAGTGACAAAAAAAAATTCAAAGTGAATTGTCAATGTATGGAAATGTGTCTTTGAGATTGTTGTGCTTTACTATATTATACATCTCATCTATTCCTAATTGATCTAACTTATACCCCTAAGCCAAATAATGCTCGAAATTTTCTAATTATAGAGCTGTTCTTTTTCACTCATATCATTGGCATAAAGTCTTCAAAAATTATAACAGTGAAGCATTAATTCCTTAGACTTTTAAGAAATAAAATTTGAAAAAAAATCCGACCAAATCAATTATTTATTTATACACCATTGTAAGAGATTTTTTATTGACTAATCAATGTGCTCATTACTGGAAGTTAAACTTTAAATATTTCACTAATTTGTAAATTAACATCATCTGCATCTCCATAATAAAATGTCGAATGAGAAATTCTTGGTGAAGTATGCATAGTCTCATCTTCATATTTACAATTGGTAAATTTTCCTGGGAAATGGTTTCATAAGTAGAGAACTTTTCTCTCTGTCCTCTCACAAAAGCAGTCAAGGATTCAATCAATTTCAGACCATCATCAAAAGGTAGACTTTTCTTCTGCCTGCTTATTGAAGTCTGATTTATTTCTTGATAACATATCACCACAAAATTCTGTCAACGCAGTATTTTTCAACTTCTTCAGAAGATCATGACCATCGAGTCTAGTTTTCAGAAGCTCTTCTTTGTTCTTTTCTAAAATTTGAAGAACAGCCATAATTTTTCCATACCTTTTATGCAGTGTCGTTATTGTGTCTTAATGGGTGGACCACCTAGTATCCGGTGGACGCTTAACGACTAGTCCAGATTCTTAGCATTCTATTAAGGTATTCCTTCCATGGGTAGAACTGGAGAAAAAAAGACCAGGTTACTGTCAAAATTGGAAATAATTCTCTAAGATGTAAAAAATAAGGGAATAAATGTGGCAGGACATTTCTCTTTTAACCTTGCTTGTAAACCTGAGTACTTGCCTGCCATAGTTGATGCGTTTTCTTATGTTTGTCTTCCACAATCACTCATATTTCTGTCTTCATGTCTTGGTCATTAGGAAATGATATAATAGTATCAGACTAGTACTCAGATTTATGTCTTTCAATTGGAATAAAATCCAAAAAACGTTTCTCGAGAATTCCGTCCTTCACATTTCAGACAGCAAATGTCAGCTGATCTGTGTGAGAAATGTCTAATTTCATTCAATACTTACTGAAAAATTGCTTTCTTTAGTTGTGCAATTATTTTGTTTCATACTTTATATCCCACAATCTGTTCAACTTCGATTAATTACAAATTGAAGATAATAAATAGGATGTATGTCCATTTCCCTTATTCCCATAATTTTTTATAAGTTCAACAAGAAAAGAGCCAAGTCACAATAATCTTAAAGTTTCCAAATAATTTCCATTATGCTGCAATTCAATTGTTTGATCATCTCCACGGATTGCAAGACTTCTTGATGCTGAAAACTTTATTACTTCTACAATTCTTCTGAATTCTTTTCAATAATTGATTTGGTTGTTCATCTGATTAGTTAAAACTCTATCTATTAAGCATTCTTTTTCTTTACAAGTAAATCACTGTAGCATATTTGCGCCCAAACATATTTTCGTGTTCTAAAATACACACATTAGAATGTTACCAATCGTTTAAGCAACTTTTAGAACTAAATGCGTTGCTAGTAGTTGCTAAAAGGCAGCCTCAAGAACTTTTACAAAACTTTAAGAGTGACAAACTTTTGGACCTTGAAACATGCACTGGTTGTTAAAGTACTATTAGTGTTTTACAATTTTCAGGAAGATTACTAAATTTGTGATTGATAATTGTTATTTTTTAAAATAATTTATAACAAATGTATTAAAATTTATACTAAAAACATTTTTAAGATTTTGCCTGACGTAATAGCTTTCACCAAACTGAAAAAAAATTGAAAAAACATAAAAAAGTCGATGCAAATTTAAGAAAAAAAATCTTATTAAAATTACTACTCTCTAAAGGAAAACGTATTTTAGTAGTTTAACTTTTAAATCAATCGATCATATTTATGCCATTTGAGTTTGTCACTTCAACAATAAATATGTGTAATACATTTATACTGACAATCAGAACTTGTTGGGTGAAATCGAAGTAAAACTGATATAGGTGATACGTTTTGATTCTCACACAAACTAAGCAACATAAAACAGGAAGAAGCATGGTAAAAAAAATTCAAAGAATAACAAGCATAAAACATTGTTCCTTTGATGTTGACTGGCATTCGAAACTCCCCTTTCTCAAAACTGTATAATTCTTTCTATTCTTTTCACCTTTTCTGTTCTTGTTCTACAAGAACGTATTATTCCATCATCTGCAACATGTCATGACTGATGAGACGTATGGCTGAACCAATTTTTTCTTTCAATATCTATTCGCAAACACTCTCACTTGCTAATCTTTTTTTTTTACAAATTAGTTTGGATAATTTTTTTTTAAATGTTATTGAGACTTTTTACTTTTCTTGGGCCATCCATAAAAACGACTCTGGAATTATTGTAAATATATCTTTCTTAATTATTGTATGTGTAAATGTGAAATTATAATTTCTTTATTTATGCATTCCAACCTTTTTATGTTATTTTACAAACTTTTGTTTTTCAAATAAGATTTAGCTTAAACATTCCAGATGTGTTCAGTTTTATTAGATTTTTAGAATTAGAAAATGTTTATTGTAATGTGTTTCTATCATATTTTATTCCTCATTCAAATATTTTAATTTTCTGCTTGTTTAATTATTATTCTTGCTTTAAAAATGATTTTTAGCTTTGGACATATGGCTAGTTATTCCAGAAGATGCAAAGCCTCAAAAGAAGATTTAGCTCGAGCTACATTAGTTACTATAACAAACAACATAGGATCCATAGCAAGAATGTGTGCACTGAATGAGGTCTACTATTTTTTTTATTGATTTGTGAAAAACTTTTCCAATGTATCTTTTTCCTTAAAAATATTTTTCAAATTTTAAAACTATGCAAATGTATAATTTTTTTTTAACTTCGCTTGATATTTCAGCTACAAAATATCAGCTTCTTAAACTTGCCCATTTCCATTTTTCTTTTCATTCTGAACTTGACTTTTAGTGTTTTTACCCTTATATTATTTACTCTGCTTTTGCTGAACTTAATTTATACAAGCATTCTTCCATTTTCTATAAACTTGCTATGCCACCCCCTTTCTTCACATGTGTTATGAAATTACAAAAATCCTTTCTCATTTTGATTTTAAAGTTGTATTTTTAAATGGATCATACTTAAAAATCCTTTGCATTGATAGTCAATCAGTGTTATGTTTTTACATATCTTATCGGCATGAGAATTTTTATGCAATACTAGCTACTAATAGTTACTTTTTTGTTAATAGTTTCCCTATTTTAGTAAAAGTTTTTAGAAAAGACTACAAGAGCTTGTTTCTTAATGTTCTAAAAACTTAATTTTGTACTTTTCAGAATTAAGCATGCATTTCTGTTTCGATTTTTCTTCTTTTTTTTTTTAAAAATTTTTTTGTTGTTGTTGTTAGGATTGATACAAAATATGGGTCAGCAGTAGGAAAAGTAATGGCTACAGTGTATTGGCCAAGTTTGTGCTGGTGGCATTGATTTTCCTCACTGAAATAGAACCTGTAAGGGAATATTGAGCTGCAAAAATCCAGACCAAATTCTGTCCTTTGTCAAAACAAACATGGGAAAGTTTGTTGACTATGAGGACTTATATTTTAAGAGTAAAAAAATTGTTTAAATAAATTATTTTTAAGAACGTGTTTATTTATTTGTTTTTATCTTTAACCATAGTTTGCTTATTAGGTAAAAAAAAAAGTCTCCGGCTTTTTTAATTTTTGAGTTCTGTAGATCTTCTGATGTGTATCCTGCGTATAATTTTTCAGATATTTGTCATGCTATAATGCATTAAGTAACATCTTGGCAGCATGCTGAGTTTCAAAAAATAATTAATTTAAAATTGACTGGATTAAAAAAGGTTTACAGATAAGACATTTTGATAATCAAGGTTTCAGTGTATGCACAACATAATTTCTATTGAAAATTATTTTTCTTTTTCTTATTTTGCTACTTCTATAATTACTTTTTCTCTCTCTTGACAACTTTAAGGTGTGTCTTATATCAATTAATTTTGTATCAACTATTCCTGAACATGCTTTGGTTTTATTAAGCTTGTGTTTTGTTTTATTTCAGGGAATTGACAAAGTTGTCTTTATTGGAAATTTTCTAAGAGTTAATAATTTATCCATGAAACTATTAGCCTATGCAATGGATTTTTGGTCAAAAGGAGCTCTGAAAGCTTTATTTTTAAAACATGAGGTAAATCAGTTACTATATTATTTTTTTAAATTTTATATTTTCTTGGGTTTTTGTCTAGCAATGAAATCTGAATTCTAATATTTTTTATGTCCACAGAAAATATTTTAGGCATTTTAAATATGCTGATCAAACATCACTTTAACTTATGGATCACTTCAATTTTTGACACCATTTTATATCCCTATCAAAGCTATTGAAATTAACAAAAAAATTTAGCAATCACACTTTATATTACAAAGAGGCCACTCTCTCTGGAAACAGAGAAATCTGGAATTCTCAGTAAAATGTACCCTTAACATTGCTAGCAATTCATTGTATTGTTTGTCATAATTATGTCAATGAATATGACATCACTATGCTTACACACAATAAAGTGTTTCAATTTATTATTTTGCACTTTGTGTATCAAATTATATAATTTAAAACTTATCCAGTCCCACTCTAATTTATTTTTCTTGTCATCAATGTTATTTTAAATGATTATTTCATTTCTAAGTTCAAATAATTCTAATAAACAATTTCTGTTTTCTCACATCTTAAACATTAGGACAATAAATAAATATTTTTCAGATCCAGCGTGTCTATCTAACGCCTGTAATAAAATAAGTACTGAAATTTTTTTTTTATACGAATCATAAAAAATTCGATATCATGAAAATGTTAGGTTATAAACAATGAGCAATTTTAATTTTTATGAGTAACAATTTTTAATTTCAATTTTTTCTTCAGTATTTAGGTATAAGCTCTTAATGCCTATGTAAATTTTTAAATTGCTGTTATAATTATATTAGTTTCAGTCATGACATTCTGCAAAATATTATAGTTTTACTTTCTTTGGAGAGCAGCCACCCTGTATTAAAATTCTCCTCAATTCTTTTGCTTGGAATTTCTAATGAACTCATGACTGTGGAGTGCAATATTACTTGTGCAAAGTTTTGCTTCTATAAATCCCTTCTTGTAAATATGGTCACACTCTTTCTTATTTTACAGTGAAACGCGAGACACAGATTAACCTCGAGAATCTGGGTTAGTCCAGAGTTTGGAAATTTTAGAATTTAGATTTTTTACTTTTAAGCCAATAGAGATGTTTAAGTTACGGGCACAAAATTATTACAAAAAATATTTTTTGATCCCTTCGTAAATTCAGATTTTTTTTTTTTTTTTGTTAAGGCAGTTTTTCTACACATTTCCACATGGCTTTTAAAACTTTATTGTTAAAATACAATATTAGGACATGGGAATTTCAATTTATGCTATAAGGAATCATTTTCTTTTTTTAAAAAATCATCTTATTTGCCATAATTAAATCATAAATTCACATAGTCTTTTCTTCAGTTTTTCGGCTGTTATCAGAATGCATTTATTCATGTTTTTAAAATCTTATTTTTAACAGAATATTATTAAAGCACTCTAATTTTGAATCACGCACTAAAATAATAATTTTTTGACACACTCAATTTCATCATAAATTTGCATTGTTTTTCCAGCATAAATTTGCATTGTTTTTTATTGCTATTGATTTCCAGATAATTTTTTAAGTCCTGATAATTTTAATATAGCATTATTACAAAACGTGAATTTTGATTTGCACATTTGACTAATTACTTTTTAACAAAACTTTTGTGACGATTTCATCAGTAATTCATTAATCCCATTTTAACAGTATTACTTCAATCTTTTTAAAATTCCAATGTTTTTAACAGTACAATATTATTAGACTTTCAAACTTTTCTTATATCATATTTTTGTTATATATTTCTGTTATACTGTGTACCTCATCTATTTCTGTATTGTGTCCTTATGCCGTAATATTGTCAATTAAACATTTTCTGTACTCATTGGTTGCTATTCAAACATAGTTTAAAGTATTATTAAGTTTTTAAATATTCTTTCACTGTGTTTTGTTTCTGAATAATTCAGATTTTAAAAGATAAAAAAATAAAGCTTAGATTATAAATTTTTCAGATCTTGGATTTTAAACTCTTTGTTTAGTCTTTCAAAGCATTGTAAAATGTTTTTTTCTTTAAATCTCTTATTTTACTATTCTGATCCATTAATTTGTGTTCCCAGTTAGTACCTAAGAGAAGTATTCTATAAGTGGCAGGTATTTATGAATCATAAATGTTGATTAATCATTCATTATTAATCCATTCATTAGCATATAAAAATAAGTTATTCATTTCTACATATTATCTCTACAAGTTGCTTCATAAAATAGTATATAGTCACTTACTATTCTGTAAGATTTATTTAATAAAAATTCATTTTTTCGAAGAAATATCTAATAAATGTTATGTTTAATAAGTTTTCATTAATTGTGATAGATTATCACATAGCCTGATGTGTGAATTAATTAAAAAATCCAAATTCATGTTTCCATATTTCTACTAATATTAGCTTCATACCTGGATAAAAACTAAGTCTGATTCGAGCTACTTTCGCATTTTTCTGTGCTTACATAAATTTATCTAGAAATTTTTTTTTTTTAATTTTATCTTAGCCAAAAATTATATCTCCTCTTAATCTCTCTTAAACCACATTTTAGGTGTTATATAACTTTCATAAAACATATTCATATTAACAAAACAAAAGTATTTTGATTAAATTTTTTAATTGAAGCTCTATTAAGTGTGCTCTGAAATATAAAGAGTTATGTGACAATAAATATATACATATAAAAACTGACATTTTTGAGTTGCTAAACTGTGTAAATATTTTAATATAAATTTTTAATTTGATATGATAAATATTTTTCAACAGTCTTACCTTCCTGACTTTTTATAGGGTTATTTTGGAGCTATAGGTTGTTTAATGGAACTTATGAAAACTGGCACTTAAGTTTGTAAGTATGATTTTTGTGTGTAAAAATAAAATGCAGTGTACTCTCACTTATGCAACAGCTTAAGAAACCAAAAGAAAGTGCATATGTGAAAGAAATGCATAAGTGAAATGCCTATTCAAAATTCTAAAATGTAACATAAATTGCAATGAGATCATTAAAAATGTTTCTTAAAATTGAATGGTAATATTTATAATAGTTTAGTATTTACTATAACCATATAAAGATAACAAATTGTAAGATACCTAATAAAATAAAATTCTTGCAAAATAATCCATGATAGATGTTTGCTTTTGTTTATGTGAATGAGTTTCAGAAGCAGTTTTCTCAAGTTTCTTCAACATCTCTTAATTCTGTTTTTATAAAATTTTCATTAACAAACTTATTAAAAGAAACAAGACCATCAGATACAATTTACCATTTGTAACATTAACCTAAGATCAACATCCCAATCTTCTTCAGCTTCTTTGTTTGATCACTACATTAATCTTCATCAAAAAATAGAAATCACACTTTTTTTAAGCAATATCTTATACTAGAACCTCCAATATTTCTCCATGCAGCACATACCATATTTATTGCTTAGCTGATTTACCTGTTTCTAGTATGGCAAGATATATCAGTAAATCAAAGTTTTCCTGTAGTGCACTTTTAAGTGACAGATTATTCCTAAATCCAAAAGCTGAACCTTACTCTCGCAGGAAAAAACTCTACTCTTAGTAAAATTCAGCAGATCTTGTGGATGAGCTAGACATTGATCAATGAATAGGACTTTTCTTTTCTTCTCAAAAACATGAAGAAAGGGTGAGACAATTTTGAAGTCACCCATGCTGCTTGATTGTTAAAGTACTTACACAGAAGCCACTTTATGTTTTTGAAACGGCAAGGTTGTTTTCAACTTCCCAGTGATGAAAGGGGGTTGCTTTTAGAGAGAGGTCACTGCAAATGTTAATTTCAAATGATTTTTTATAACTGAAGTTTTTTTATTTCTATTTTTTTTCTTACTTAACAGTTTGTGCGCCTCTGTTTTTTACATCTTATGATTCCGTTTTTTTAAGTTTTGTATTGAAAATCAAAGATGGACAACTTAATTTAAATTAATAGCTTCATCATAAAATTTTCTTCATATTGGAGAATTTTGTTTTCTATACTTAGCTAATATGCACTAAAAACTATATGCTACTAAACAAGAGATTTCACAGAGACTATTAGCCAAAGAGATATATTTTTCAACCTAAATAATCACATTTTAACTCTAAAAATAGTTTCCTCCCTTTTTCAGTTTTATTTCTACCCTCCCTTTTAGCTTTTTCTGGGGGGCTGTGACAAGTTGTCGCATTTGTAGTTTGGCTCCTGTGAGGGGCGTGTGACACTTTCAGCATAAGAATGAAGGAGGAAATCTTCTCCACAGTTTAAAGAGAGGATTAAATTACAGTGGGATGTGTTTTATTGTTTCAGTTATTATGGGAGGTCTCACCTTCATTAAGATAAACGGAGAAAGGTTTCTTTATATTTCCCACCTACTTTTGAGAAAAAAAAATAAAATAATTGCAAAAAAATAATGCACTTTTAATAATTGCAAAAATTGCACTTTTCAAAAAAATAATTGCAAAAATTATAATTTTTATAATCTATTCTACAGTTTCAATAAGGTGCATTCTTTCATGAAATTCAATACAAAAGGAAAATGACATGATCTTTTGCAACTAAATCATACTAATAGACGTATTTCAGTGTTTTGCGTTCGAGGAACCATTTTAAAGTTGAAGAAAATCCTTTGAAAATCAGAACACATATTAGATTCTAACTAAGAGATTAAGGTAAGAAGGTGCTAAGTGACTTGTTATAAGTTTAAAAACTGACTAAAGAATTTTTATGAAGGAATGATTTTATCTACCAAATGTTAATTTAAAATGAAATTAGAAATACTGTATGAATTTTTTAAATGATCAAAAATATTATTGAAGTTTATAATTTTTAATAAATTACACAAAATAGAAAATTTATAAGATTCGGGGAATTTATTAGAGAGTATAATTTTCAAAAGCAATGGCCGTGGCTTACTTGAGAAAACTGGATCATTGAAATTAGTTGGGAGATATGACTGAATTATCCTCATTTTCCCCACTTGTTTTTTATAAAACTATTAATCATTTATTGAAGTTATCAGTATTTTTCTTAAGTTAAAAATATTTATCATTTAAAAGATGAAAAAGAAAATCAAAAAATATATTTAGAGAGTTAATATTTAAAGTTAAATTTCACGTTTTTTCTTGCATCAGTGATGACTTAAATCCCTTCTATTATAGCTCAGGTTTAATGTAAGACAACGGCAAGTCACATTATAGACTTTTGGCAAGAAATTAAATGTGAAATGTTTAACAAATTTACTAAAACTACGAATATTAATTGGAATATATTAAATAGTTATTATTATAAAAACTAATAATTATAATTATTAAAACTTTGAATTATTAAACTACTACAACTTAATAATTTAAATTTGGTTTTGCTGAAATTGGAATAATTGTGCTAAATTGATATAACAAGAGAAAAGAAAAAATCTGTTATTCTTAAATTTTTTTCTATTTATTTATTTTTAGTGTAAATATGTCTATGAACATTTAAAAATTGTTCTGATTGAGACTCTGTATTGACAAACCTGAAATCAACAAAACAATAAGTTAAAAAGTGTCACACATAGTGCTAATGGATGAATTCATGATTGGAATACTATAACACAGAACATCTAGATCATTTGTTATAGGAAATTGGTCGGTGGTATTTTTTATTTATTTGTTTTTTTTCCATTCTTTTTTACACTGAATCTAAAGAAACCAACGAAGATTTCCAGAGTTTGTCAAGTTATGCAAAAGTGCAAGAAACCTTTTCTTATAGCCTTCCTATTATCTCTAACAATGGTGGGCTAAAAGGTAGTGAAAGATGTTAAAAAAAACAGTGGGAGAGTAAGATTATTTCATGTTAATTTAAAATATGCAAAATCATTGAAGAAAATCTGAAACCATTTCACAAAAATATTGTGAATAAATTTTTTACGTTATTTCAAAGGAAAATATTATTTAAACTCAAAATTATCCTTGTTTTGAAGGGGGGAGGGGTTGTAAAAAATTACAAAGCAGTAATATTTTGTTGAATGAAAATTATTGTACATTGAGCTATAGTCAAAACTGTTTTATATGCTAGTATTTGCAGTTATTAAGCTGTCTTTTATATATTTTTTCTTTTTTAATACCTTTCAAATTGATTTTAGATTTCATTTTAAACATACTTTAAAAATTGGTAGAATTAAATTCTTTAAAAAGTATTTTATGTGTATTTAATTATGTTCAACACTGGATGCAAGATTTACTGGTCCAGTGTCAGACCTCCCTGTTTAAATCACAAAGTGCATTTTTTATATTTAAGCATCATTGGCTTATATTATTATTTGAGTTGTTGTAATCATAATTGCGAGGAAAAAATTGCAGAATATTTCTTAATAAGTTTAAAAAAAGCATGTTTCTGCAAAATATTACTTTAAAAAAAAAGAAAATTCAATTGGGGCCTCAGCTTACTGAGTGTCCAAGACAATTATCCCTGTCTCCCCTTCCTTAGGTAGGGCTCTGAATATGTGGCAGTTATTTTTAGATAAAATGTAAAAAATTTACTGATTTTATAAAAAGTTAAGTGTCATGATTTTTTTTGCATATGTTCAATTAAAAGCATTAGGATAAATAACAAAAGAACTTCAAAATCCAAAAACTGCATAATATCTTGATGTTTACAATATTTTGATCTTTTATCTAAAAAATTTATATTCGACCTTTGACATCCAAACTTAAAAGTTATAAATTTTCATTGAAGGGGTACCACTTACTATATGAACTATTTCTTCCCTTGTAAAAAAGAATATCAAAAATATGATAGTTGTTCACCGGAGTTACAGAATGACTTTTATATATAACCTTCATTAGCTCAACTGCAACATTCAATCAGATGATTCTGATTGTACAATATTACAGATAAAGCAGAAAGCTGCTTTAAAGAAATGCGATTACAGCTCTTAAACATGCAGAAAGGGATCATAGGCCCAATGCTTTGAAATTGTTGAAATAAAAAGTCAGCTAAAGCTACATATTAAAATCTTAAATTTTGAACTGTACCAAGAACCCACGGAAAGGAGTTTTGCGCCTGATATTGTATTGACCTTCATATTCAAAAATTCAGGTAATACAGTATTGAAATATATATTATAAACCTCTCAGAACTAGATCATATAATAATGAAATAAATAATCTTTATAGACAGTTTCTCTACAGCATCTTATCACTAACATTGGTATACAAAATAAGGTAAACCACGTATGCTACTTATCCACTGTGACATTCTCAACAATTTAATTTATCTTTTTGTATAGTTTATTTAAAATGATTTTAATTCAATTAACAATTCAGCAATCACTAAATTTTTAAAATGCAGAACTATAGAGCATTTGCCAATTATATTATTTAAACAGTGATTAGTTGAATTTATGATACTCTAAGGTGTATCTTAAATTTTCTGAATAAATTAAAAACATCAGGTTCTGATAAGAAAAAATTAAACCAAATTTTAAGCAATATTAATTAAATTTAGAATTTAACTTTTTTTAAGAATACATATTTCTGAAGTTTAGTGTTACTGTGCACAGTTCAGATTTTTTTAAAAATTATTTTTCCTTTTTTTATTTTCTGGACATTTTTTTTCTAATTGCATGACAGATTAAAAAGTGAGATTTAAGTTTTGTAGTAAAGAAAACAATTTTGATGTATCAAAAATCGGTTCCTTTTAAAATCTGATCTCCGTCTAAAATCTCTAGTATCTTTCTAATCTCACTTCTGTAAAGAGTCACTTTATCTCTTAATTATAATTCAAATAGCTTGAAATATTGATTATTCATATTTAGTAACACTTCAATAAAACCTTTTATTTTTAGACAGTTTTGCTAATTTTTTAAAAATATTTTGTACACTACTAAATTAAACTCAAGAAATTCTGTTTTATTAGTAAATTATTTTATTCTAGGTAACGTCATTTTTAAACATATCTAAGCAACTAAAATGTGTTGAAGGCTTGTGTTGCAAGAGTAGTGCAACATCAAATGAACATGGAAATGTTCTATGGGCATTCGTTATGTATTTTACATTGATAGAAGCTATTTATTTTTATTTGTTGCTATAAACAAAGTTTTCATTTAAAACTTATTTTCATAGAATATTTATGAACTTTATCATTTATTCATTTTATAATGTTTTTTAAATATGTGCATTGTTTTGTTAAAAAATGGATAAATGCTAATTTTGTATAAAATTTGGCTGGTATCTGTCATATGCAAATTTGTAAATGAAATTTTTCTTGTAAATCTGATGAAGCCAAATTTTTTTTATATAGTATTAATATATATTTTATTAATCTGATTTATGATTAATCATATTATTTTAATAAAGAAATTATGTTCTTTCTTTTTTAAAATAATTTTTTTTCCAATATCAATTGCACATTTATATATTAAATATTTACATTATAATTCTATTTTTTTTTAAAATTTAATATCATCAAATCTTTAAGAAATTTGCTTATAAGCAAAAGTGGAGAAATGTTCTCTTTCAAATATATATTATTGTCTTAATATAATTTTATTTACACTTTATTTTTATAATGTATTAAATGAAACATATTTTGAATGACATGTGATATATTTAAAGGAGATAATTCCGAGTTTTTCTTGTTATTTTTTTGATAAAAAATTTTAAAGAGTCCAAATTTCCTGTATTTTATGCTATCAATTTAATATTGTTTTTAACTATACACTATATCATGTGCAGAATATTTTTTAATGAACTTTCTTTTGTTTCCATCCTCTATTCACTATGTAAATGGGGCATAGCCTCTTAATTGTTTATGTTTGTTTCATAAGTAAGGTGATCTCCAAAGATAGGAATAACGTTCAGGCAGTTCTATTATGTAACAAGCTCTGCTTTGTATATGTTTGAGAAAGGAAATACCTCTCTGCACCCTTCAGAACTGGTGTTTGTTAGCGTTATGAAGAAAGTATTTAACCTTTTGGCTTTAAGCTACTTAAGAATTAACTATATCACAAAATGAAAATTTGATTAATTGTCCTTTTTCTTATCAGTTTTAAAAAAAGTTATATGAATTTATCTCATTAGAGTTCAAGCTAATTTTAAATTTTTCTATAACAGGAAAAATACATCTTGACAAAACCCAGTGTTCTTATGTATGTGTGTCTAGTACTATTAAAACCAGTCTACACTTAATATATTATTGTATTAGGTTGGCAATTAAGTTCACACCTTGTTAAACTTTAGCATTCTGATGTTTTTGCCATAAAAGTTTTAATCATTCGAAGAAAAATGTTTTGTTCTACTGGAATCCTTTTTTTTTTATGTCAATTTTCAGATCATTAAAATAGAATGTCAAATGGAGATTTTTTAACTTTCAAAAGCTTCTCGTGACATTTGTACTGTGTATGGAGATGGTATCTTACCTGATTAGTGTGTCAAGTTTAAGAGAGGAAATTTAATCTTAAAGATGCACTTCATTCTAATGTCCATTTAAGTTTGATGAAGGGCGATTAAACCAACTTTTGCTCAAACAGAAAAAATATAATACTCCCCCACTTCTCTTCTCTAACTTTTAAAAAAAAAGGGAGTTTTATTGCCAACCTCTTATGTATAGAAGTACCATTTAAAATAATAAATGAAAAGTGAAAATATGTGAAAATTTTAATATGTTGATTACAAGCATCAGTTTTTACTACATAGGGTACACATCTAAGTAGCTGCACTGTCGTTATAACAAATATAAAAATATATGTAAATATCATGTGCTCTAACTCAAGAATAAGCCATATAAAAGAACAAACATTTAAAATTAAAAGCGAAAAAAAAATTTTTAATAAGAAAAGCTTGATTAATAAATTTATAGTACCGTTTGAAAAGAAATTTGCAGACATAGTCAATCTAGAGGGCATCTAATTGAGGACTCAAAACAGAAAAACTTTAGAAACTATTATAAAATTACATTTTTATGAGATAATATTTGACTCAAGAAATACCATTTTATGATGAATAAAAATATGATTTTCAAGCAATTTTAATAAAGAAGTTTTAGGTTATTAAAACTTAAATATTTCATATATTTAAGAGAAAAGCTAAGTATATTCTGTTCGAAATAATAAATTTTTTATCATAGAAAAATGTCTACTTCCATTTACAATTAAAATGGATTAAAAATATGGATTTTCATAACTATAAAATTTTCAATATTTTTTTTTAAAAAATTATTTTTTGTTCTCTCAAGTGTATTACACTCCTCCTTCCAGGGGGATTTAATCAAAGAATTTGCCTAGCATAAAGCATTTCATTTCTAGAAATGCAAAAAAGTTAAACATTTGTTTTTCTTGGGATTGAAAAAATAATAAATTTAGTCTCAATATTGGAATGATATTTTAAGTTCAATAACATTAAACAGGGATGAGAGTAGTTGGAAAGTAAAAAAGAGGAAATTCAAGAATGAATATATATATATATNATATATGTAATATAGAATTTTGACAAAAAAGTGCAATTTTTAAACTTGTAAACATGTGATTATAAATCCCGATGATTAATTTTAAAATTGCATGAATATATAAATATGAATCACATGCAGGATTTTAAATAAAGGGAATAAGAATCCCGAAATGAGGCTTTTAAATCACGTGAATATGAAACTCTATATCGAATTTTAAAAATGCGAAAATACAAATCATGATGCGTAATTTCTAGATCACGTAAATACGAATCACTATGCGTAATTTTTAAATAGCGCGAATACGAATCCCACTGTCTAATTTTTAAAGCACGTATAAATAGGAAAATCGATGTTTGATATTACAACCGCAAAAACGAATCAAGACATTGGACTTTAAGCTCGCGTGAATACGAATCGCTACATGGGGTTTTAAAAGTGCGTAATTACAAATCGCGATATTGGATTTTTAAATCTTGTAAATAAAAATTGCAATGTACGACATTTGAATCTACTGATTAAGAATCGCATCGTTCAACTTTTAAATCAGGTAAATACGAAAATCAATGTTTGAGGAAGAAATGAGGACTTCAATACTTTCGCTTCGCGGAAAACTTAATTCCTCATAAAATATTTTAACTTGTGCAAAAAAAAATATTTCAGCGGAAATTAGCGGGAAAAATCTGAAAAAAAAAGCGGAAATCCACGGAAGAATCACATCTCTGATTAAAGTAACATTGCCTTTAAGGAATTGCAACTAATTTGTTTAAGCAATCATAATGACATGGTTGCTTGCCTTAAGAATGAAAGAATAAATGAAAATTATTTAGACATATTTTGCATAATTTTATGATAGAGGAAAGTAGAGATGGGTAAATATTTTTTGGAAAAAAAAATTTACAGCTTTATTTCTACAGATGCTGTACTGGAAATTTCAGAATCAGCAGTTTTTCATAATTAATGGGTATTAAAATGTTAGCTTATAAATCAATAAAAATAGTAAAACAATTTTCCCAATCCATTTTTTAAAATGAATGTTTAATTTTCAAAACTATTCTTGAATGAGAGAACAGAGTTTTTGAGATTGTTTATACATTTATTGTTACAAGCTGAATTATATTGATCATCGAATGAAGAAAATATTGAAACACCCAAAGGCATGCCCCACACATTCCTTCATTTAACATTTCAATAAAAACAAACAGAAAAAATTTTAAAGTTTAATTACTTATTGTTGAAGTTTTTTATGTTTAGTCATTATTAACTTTAACTTCATTGAAGGAATTCTGAAAATGTATTTACACATTTTCTTTTAATATTGTAAAATATTTTATTCGTTGCATAGAATTTTGAATAAGATGATTTATAGTTATAAATATAATGACATGATTACACTAATGAGCAACAATGTAAGAAATTATTTATTTTAGAAAAAAGTCCATGTGTCCCATCTTGAGTATATCTTCAAATGTTAACCAAAAGATATTTAATTTCGATTACTTTTTGATAATTTTAAATTTTGAAGTATGATTTAATTTGTATAATACTGCAGGGAAAGAAAGTTTTTTCAATTGCATGTAAAAAACAGTATGCTACTTATGGAAATAAAAAATAAATGAATCATAATAATGGAAGACCTGAGCAAAAAATAAGTCAATGTTTCATTAAATTTGAAAAAAAACTTTAAAAAAAATAAAAGCATAAAGTAAAGCATTTTACAAAACATCTTTCACTGTAAACAATTATTTGAGGACTTAGCACAAAATGCTCTCAGATACAGAAATGTATGTATTTTTAATATTCTACTTTAACATATTCTTCCAGGATGTTAGAGCACAGGTGCAGCTAGTTTAACTGTTATTGTAAATTGTATGGTTAAAATACTGTAATGATACAATATTTGTATATAGTTTTTATAGCTTTATTTAGAAAAAAAAATACCCATACGGGGAACTAACATGTAAAACTACATATTGCTGCTACCTAAATGGATTTATGAGAGAAATAAGTTTGCACAAAGTTTGTAATTTAATAAAAAAAATTTAAAAAAAAGCTTTTTTTTTTTTTTTTTTACAAGAATGGAAAGCATAGATATAATATATTTGACAAATAATGTTCAATGAAATATTTATTGATCTTGTATCTAAAGTGCAATATACTGATATGGAATGAAAATAAATAAAGCATCCTTAATTACTTTTCTTGTTGAAGCTATAAACTTTGAACCAAATCTATACTGAATTAAAATGGTATGCCTAAATCTGAACAATAATAAATATGTATATATAGTTCTGTCCAATGAAGTAATTTGTATGAAAATATGTGTATGTTTATTTTTGCAGTCTTAAACAATTATATTTAATATAAGTGTTTATTTTTCTACTCAGAGCATTCAACTATATATTTATTGTTCCTTCTTTCAGGACGAATTGCTACTTAAGTTTGTTGTGTTTTGTGTTGCTTAAACTGACAAAAATAGTCAAATTACCTTATATATTTTTAAAAATCAATTTGAAAAGATTAATGTTAAAATGCATTCTTGTTCTGTTGTTTCCATAAAATTTTATATATTTTTCTTATTCATTTTTCCAGAATTTAATATAGAATGAGTTTTAATGAAAAAAATTCTCTTTTTCATATATTTGATGTTAAAATAGTCCTAGCTTGACAAATACTCCAAATTATAAACTGGTTTGAAAGACTAATAATGAAATATTTTATTGCTTTTTTACTCCTAAAAGTGTTATTAACTTCTACAATTCAAAATTTATTAAGCTTATTACAGAATAAATTTCTCTGTCTGGCAAATATTTGTATTTTTATCTCAAATCTTATATATTTTTTCTTATGTAATAATGAAT